CGGGCGCAACCCATTTTATTTTATACCTACGTGACTACCGAAAGAACCAAAGAGTATTATTGTTGTGATTTATATTCTTGACTAATATGTATGTTTATGATTATTTGCGATTATGCACAAAGTGTATCGCGACTTGTTACTGGCTCTCTAGTTGTCTAGGGGTTTGCAATGTCAATCGTGACGACATCGATGAATCTCGCTTCAACATTCAAACGCGGCATGTCGGGCCCAGCACGCTGCCTGTAGAGCAGCCTCGGACAGCAGCCTGCACGTGACCACACCCCCCTCTCCCCTGGCCTCTCCACCAAATACAACGTCAAGTCACTGGGCTTAACCAACAACTTTTACAGCCTGTCGCTCGGGCACTCTATCGGTGTGCGACGACTCAAATCTCCACCTGTTCCACGTCTCAGCTCACAACTCTTAGCTTAGTGCAGTACGACTTCTCCAAGTCCTTCACTCTGCAAGTGACTCGAAAATGAAAAAGCGTCGAGGAAAACTTTCAGCAATACTTAAGTCTGCCTCGGCAAGCGCTCAAAACTTAACTACTCGGCGCTTTTCTCCCGGCAAAGCTCAACTTATGGATGATTGCGATAACTGTACCTCAATGCACGTGATGAATGACGTCACAAAGCAACCCTTAAAGAGCCTCAATGCACGTGGTGAATGACTTCACAAAGCAACCCTTAAAGGGTCTCAATGCACGTGGTGAATGACGTCACAAAGCAGTCCTTAAGGAGCCTCAATGCACGTGATAAATGACGTCACAAAGCAGCCCTTAAAGGGCCGCATGCGGCTCCGACGCGTCAGGCTGCCAACCCCCTGGGTCTTGCCATTGCAGCCTGTGGAATTGTAAGTCTTGGTCATGTAACTTACTAACTGTTTACTATATATTTCACCAGGCAAGGCCCACTGAGATAGAGAGGTCTTTTTTCCGAAAGCGACCTCGCCGAATGAGGTGGCTTGTCACGTGGACTTCTATAGCAGCGGCCAATGCACATGGAGGGGAAAAGCCAGAGGGTGCGGGAAAAAAATCCACACAACCATGGGGAGAGAGATGCGCAAACTCCAAACATACAGCAGCAGGCATCTTCAGGGTCGAGATCAAACCCACGACCTCCTGTACACCAGGCGAGGTGATCAACATCTGCTAGCCACCATGATGATGAGAGACACTCAAACTCCAAACATACAGCAGGAGGCGTCGTCAGGGTCGAGATCAAACCCACGACCTCCTGTACACCAGGCGAGGTAATCAACATCTGCTAGCCACCATGATGATGAGAGACACTCAAACTTCAAACATACAGCAGCAGGCGTCGTCAGGGTCGAGATCAAACCCACAACCTCCTGTACACCAGGCGAGATAGTCAACATCTGCTAGCCACCATGATGATGAGAGACACTCAAACTCCAAACACAGCAGCAGGCGTCGTCAGGGTCGAGATCAAACCCACAACCTCCTGTACACCAGCGAGATAGTCAACATCTGCTAGCTACCATGATGATGAGAGACACTCAAACTCCATACAGCAGCAGGCATCGTCAGGGTCGAGATCAAACCCACAACCTCCTGTACACCAGGCGAGATAGTCAACATCTGCTAGCCACCATGATGATGACACTCAAACTCCAAACATACAGCAGCAGGCGTCGTCAGGGTCGAGATCAAACCCACGACCTCCTGTACACCAGGCGAGATAGTCAACATCTGCTAGCCACCATGATGATGAGAGACACTCAAACTCCATACAGCAGCAGGCGTCGTCAGGGTCGAGATCAAACCCAAGACCTGTACACCAGGCGAGTAAACAACATCTGCTAGCCACCATGATGATGAGAGACACTCAAACTCCAAACATACAGCAGCAGGCGTCTTCAGGGTCGAGATCAAACCCACGACCTCCTGTACACCAGGCGAGGTAATCAACATCTATCCACCGTGGTTCCCCTCCGATGTGGTTGTAATCTCGTGGATAAATGAGGAGTCCTGTAATGCTCCGCGAGTTCTTCTGAATGGTCACATGGCCTGTCGGTAGCTAGGGACGAGCTTATCGGGTATCTCAATAAAGCTGTCGTATTTTTGGGGAACATCGGGTCCGCCACTCGCTCCGACAAACGCAACTCCCTCGTGGTCTCTCGACTTCTCAGGCTCGACTCGACAAAATCAACTGGAACTTCGCCTGATGGGGCGGGCGAAACGGAGATTGCACGCTCACCCGGGATGCAAAGCTGCCAAGGGCACCGAATATTTCACATCTTGAGAAGGAGCTTCGCGGATGTTGAAGTTATGTTTAATGATAGAATATAGTATTGTCATCAGTATGACGTACCTATGCCAAGTTTGCAGTCGATACGACATTGTGAAGACGGTTAAAAGTGAGTTTCAAGATTTGAGGATACAACAACAGACGGAGTGAGTGACATAAAAGCGTGTAAAATGTTTTAAAAATATGTTTTGGATGTTTTATGATAGAATATCGTGTTGTCATCAGTATGACGTAGATATTTCAAGTTTGCAGTCGATAGCACATTGGGAAGTGGGTAAAATTATGAGTTGGAGAAGACGTTTTTTGGAGGATACAACAGACTGAGTTACATAAAAGCGTGTAAAATGTTTAAAAATATGTTTTGGATGTTTTATGATAGAATATCGTGTTGTCATCAGTATGACGTAGGTATTTCAAGTTTGCAGTCGATAGCACTTTGGGAAGTGGGTAAAATTTGAGTTATTAGAGAAGATGTTTTTTGGAGGAGACAACAGACTGAGTTAGTTAAATAAAAGCGTGTAAAATGTTTTGGATGTTTTATGATAGAATATCGTGTTGTCAGTATGACGTAGGTATTTCAAGTTTGCAGTTGATAGCACTTTGGAAAGTGGGTAAAATTTGAGTTATTAGAGAAGATGTTTTTTGGAGGATACAACAGACTGAGTGAGTTAAATAAAAGCGTGTAATAAAATGAGGATGTCACTCCCAGTCTGTGTGCTTTTACATCGCACGGGGCGGTGTTTGTGCAATGCGTTTAGTGAGTTTAATGTAATCATCACACCCACCCACCCATTTCATTGCATTATTTATTAACGAGCTTTAATATAATTTCTGCCTTTTGTTCAACCGTCTGAGGTCGCTGGGATTCATTGTATGTGTTAATGGAATTGATTTCAACTGTATCACGGATAGTCATAATCTTTGGGTTTTTTCGGTAAAGTCACGTAGGTAAAAAATTCAAATTAATAAAAGTAAAATAAAATAAAAATCACGACGGTTCCACCTGAAGACGGAAGCTTGTGTTGCCTCTGAAACGTTGTGATTTTTATTTTATATTTTACTTTTATTAATTTTAATTTTTTACCTACGTGACTTTACCGAAAAAACCAAAGAATATTAATCCTTGCAGTCACGAAAGCTTCAAATCTAGAATGTATCACGGATCTTTGCGATTTATTTATCGCTTTATGACCTTTAACAATGAGGCCCCCATTGAGATACAGCACATTCATGCAAATAATGAAATTTAAGTTTGACAACCTTGATGTATCACATCGTGATGTGAGTGAAAAGGAATCGCACCATTGTGTTTCACAATAGCTTCGTGTCTTTCTGTATGCTGAGCGTCTTTGGTCTTGGCCATGGTGGAGAGTTTGGAATCTGATTGATTGCTTCTGTGAACAGGTGTCTTTTATACAGGTAACAAGCTGAGATTAGGAGCACTCACTTTAAGAGTGTGCTCCTAGGAGACGTGACATCATCGCACTGAACGGCACACCTGACGTCACGTCCCCATTTTACTCCTCTACACAATGAAATTTGATTTAAGTCTGACAACATTGATGTATCACATCGTGATGTGAGTGAAAATAACACCATTGGGTTTCACAATAGCTTCATGTCTCTCTGTATGCTGAGCGTCTTTCACACCGTACGTAGTCAACCACGCTAATCGCCATGTGTTAGGCTACTAAATACGGGTAAACTCGGGTTATCCGCGTCTCGTTTGGGGATTGTTGAGTTTATCCACTTCTAATTTGGGGAATGTGGCATTGCAACACCAAGCCCTGAAAAGAGACCACACATTTATTGTCACGCAGTGATGTCAGTGTACAAATTACTGCGAAAAAACACGGTGACAGAGGAGCAGTGGCAACACAAGCCAACAATCTTGTCAGAATTATTAAATTGTACATTTACATGCGATAACAAGTACATGTTCAAAACTTTGTGACGTATAGGGGTTGGAATTCAAGCATACTTTCAAGGTGACACTGCAACAATACACATGCTAACAGACGATACAATTGTTTAAAATGAAAACGTAATTGCAATACTCAAGCATGTTTTTACATTTCGAATTTGTCTCAGAGGAAACATTCTATATCGCGACGGAATCCACGCACACACATTACTAGGAATTGAGTAAAATTGCTTTAGAATTATTACTTAGAGAACACAATCATCTCCACACTCGTGCTTAAATGTGGGAGTCACAGCCTTAGGGCTGAAAATAAGATTTCAGAGCTCACGGGAGTCAGGCCATTGTCTGAAAGGCACGGCCATTTTAGAGCCTCGGGGATTTTACCGCTGGGCCTAGGGGATTTTTTTCGAGTTAAAGCTTTCGTGACTGCAGGGATTCATCTTCTTGGTTCTTTCGGTAAAGTCACGTAGAAGGTAAGTAATACAATAATAAAACATAAAACAATTCTCACGACGTTTCGGCCACAACGCAAGCAGCCGTCCTCAGGTGAAAACCAGGTCTGTCGAGGCGACAGCATCACGTGTGGTGTTTCATTCAGACGCTGTCTCCCGACAGACCTGGTTTTCACCTGAGGACGGCTGCTTGCGTTGTGGCCGAAACGTCGTGAGAATTGTTTTATTTTTATTATTTTATTACTTCCCTTCTACGTGACTTTACTGAAAGAACCAAGAAGATAGGGGATTTTTGCGCGGTTTCTGCTCCGATGGCAACCAACGGTATCGGCCCCCGCTGAGGGTGATCCTACATCACTCCCTGAGGGGGACCCTTCGCCGTCTCTCTGGGTTCGGCGCTGCCGTCAGCCCGACCGCGGAGCCTTCAACGGAACCCACCACCACCACCGCCGCCGCCGGCCCGGCGAAGATTGATCCCGCGTCGATCGCTGCGTCCCGGGGGCTCTGCGCCGTCAGCGGCGCCGGCTTTTCCAGTGGCCGTCGCCGGTACGTGTGGTAGTAGTGGTAGTTGTAGTACTACTACTAGTGGTACGTGTGGTAGTAGTGGTACGTGCGGTACTAGTGGTACGTGTGGTAGTAGTGGTACGTGCGGTAGTAGTGGTACGTGCGGTACTAGTGGTACGTGTGGTAGTAGTGGTACGTGTGGTACTAGTGGTACGTGTGGTAGTAGTGGTAGTTGTAGTACTACTACTACTAGTGGTACGTGTGGTAGTAGTGGTACGTGTGGTAGTAGTGGTACGTGTGGTAGTAGTTGTGTAGTGGTGATACGCGCTGGGGTGGGGATCGTGTGCCAGCGCGTAGTGATTGGTTGTGTGTGTTGGTGACGCGTGCTGACGGTGGGGATCAGGGTCAGCGCGGGGTAGGGGGTTATGTGGTAGTGATTGGCTGTGTGCCGGTGACGCGCTTGAGAGGGAGTGATCGTGTGGCAGCGCGGCTTGATTGGTTGGGTAGTGGTAACGCACGCTGGGGAAAACGGATCGTAGGAACAGCGCGTCGTGATTGGTCAACTAAGGAGCGATGCTCACGCCGAGGTCCGCATGCGCTCCGTCTCCCGTGAGCGGGGACTATATAAGGGGATGCGCACAGGCGCACGGGAGCGAGTAACCAGCGAAGATTGAAGACGGGGGACGAAGAGATAGAGCCCTGCGGTACCTAGTCCCGCTGTCCTGTAGGGACCGGGACTCTGTGTGACCCAGCGGCGGAACCCTGGGACCCGGGGCCGAACGTCCGTGAGAGGGCCGGCTCGTGGGACTCAGAGGTTGTGGCCCAAGCCCAAGCTGGGGTGGGCCTGGAGGCTCCACGGACGTTACGGGGCAAGTGCAGTGTGTGTAGCCAGAGGAATAGAATCTACACGTGTCAAGTGAAGTGTGTGTAGCCAGAGAAATAGAATCTACACGTGTCAAGTGAAGTGTGTGTAGCCAGAGAAATAGAGACCACACGTTGTATCGTGACAAGTCAAGATTTAATAAAAAGTGTGTTACCCGTCAAGGAGTGGTACGTGTGGTACTAGTGGTACGTGTGGTACTAGTGGTACGTGTGGTAGTAGTGGTAGTAGTGGTACTACTACTAATGGTACGTGTGGTACTAGTGGTACGTGCGGTAGTAGTGGTACGTGCGGTAGTAGTGGTACGTGTGGTACTAGTGGTACGTGCGGTACTAGTGGTACGTGTGGTACTAGTGGTACGTGCGGTAGTGGTACGTGTGGTACTAGTGGTACGTGCGGTACTAGTGGTACGTGCGGTAGTGGTACGTGTGGTACTAGTGGTACGTGCGGTACTAGTGGTACGTGCGGTAGTGGTACGTGCGGTACTAGTGGTACGTGTGGTACTAGTGGTACGTGCGGTAGTGGTACGTGCGGTACTAGTGGTACGTGCGGTACTAGTGGTAGGTGTGGTACTAGTGGTACGTGCGGTACTAGTGGTACGTGCGGTACTAGTGGTACGTGTGGTACTAGTGGTACGTGTGGTACTAGTGGTACGTGTGGTACTAGTGTGTGGTGTACGTGTGGTAGTAGTGGTACTAGTGGTACGTGCGGTACTAGTGGTACGTGCGGTACTAGTGGTACGTGCGGTAGTAGTGGTACGTGTGGTACTAGTGGTACGTGTGGTAGTAGTGGTACGTGTGGTAGTAGTAGTAGTGTAGTAGTAGTGTAGTAGTAGTGGTAGTGGTACGTGCGGTACTAGTGGTACGTGCGGTAGTAGTGGTACGTGTGGTAGTATTAGTGTATAGCTGTGTAGTCTATATTACTGTAGTGTATAGTGTAGTGTATAGTAGTGTAGTGTATAGTAGTGTATTGTTTAGTACTGTAGTGTATAGTTGTGTAGTGTAGTGTATAGTGTCATGTGTAGTATAGTGTAGTGTATAGTAGTGTACTGTATAGTAGTGTAGTGTATAGTGTAGTGTATAGTAGTGTAGTGTATAATAGTGTAGTGTATAGTGTATAGTAGTGTAGTGTATAATAGTGTAGTGTATAGTGTATAGTAGTGTAGTGTATAATAGTGTAGTGTATAGTGTATAGTAGTGTAGTGTATAATAGTGTAGTGTATAGTGTATAGTAGTGTAGTGTATAATAGTGTAGTGTATAGTGTATAGTAGTGTAGTGTATAATAGTGTAGTGTATAGTAGTGTAGTGGTGGGAGGCTGATGCCAGGTGGTGGGGGGCTCAACGACACATCCACAACTCACGCGAGATCTGACCCCCCAAAGAGAAGACCTTTATTTGTGAATAACTCGGCGTCAAACTCGCAACAGGAAACTTAGAAGGCGATTTGAAGCTTTCGTGGCTGCAGGGATTCATCTTCTTGGTTCCGTCGGTAAAGTCACGTAGAAGGGAAGTAATAAAATAATAAAAATAAAACACAATATTGTATTTTGTTTTATTGTGTTTCATTTTTATTATTTTATTACTTCCTTCTACGTGACTTTACCGAAAGAACCAAGAAAAGTAAAAATGTTATTCACACCTACGGGACTTTACCGAAAGAACCAAAGAGTAATGAAACTTAAACTGAGATGGGTAGATATTTCTCCGATCGAACAGCCCTTCCCTTCCTAGAGGCAGCCTTGACCTCTTCTTGTTTTTCTCCGGAATCTTCCACTTCCTCTGCTGCTGCTGCCGCCGCCGCTTTGTATTTCTTTCCCGGCTGCACTTGGGGGCTTCTGCTCACGGCCACCGCGGCCGAGTGTGAGGCCGGAGACCCCCGCCGTGCTCCCTCTCCGCCTGCCCCACCTCTCCCTGTTCCGCTCTCCCCGTGTCCCCAGGCTGCCCTGGCCCGTCGGGGCGATTGGGAAATCGTCAGGTCCAGCCGCCGCTCTATCGCGCGCAGGTAGCCTTGCAGCTGCAACGCATCCGCCGCCGTTATCGCCATCCGCCGGGGGGCGGCGTCCTCCGTCTCGGCCGCGTCGGGAGGAGGAGGAGGGGGAGGAGGAGGAAGAGGATTGCCCTTCGCAATCCTGTTGATGACAACAACAACAACAACAGCGCGTTTTTAAATGCTCACCGTTAGTGTTGGCAAAGTGTATGCACACCAGAGGTCGCAAACGGGTTTTGATTCCTTACCCGGACTCGTACCCGGCCACACCAGGGTCGCAAATGGGTACCCGTACCCGGCCGGGTACAGGTAGCCGTTCCCTACCTGTACCCATACCCTACCCGAAATGAGTGACAAACGCTTACTCACCGGTGACTCACGGCCTACCTGTACCCGGCCGCACCAGGGTCGCAAACGGCTACCCGTACCCGTACCCGGCCGGGTACGGGTAGCCGGGTATCGGGTAGGGTACGGGTATCGGGTACCCGGTTGCGAGTAACCGTTTGTCACTCATTTCCCAACGTCTTGTCTCTTCTCACAATTCAAGTTCCTAGATCAACCCACCCGCGCCTGCAACATGGCTTCATCCCAGAGGTCGCAATCGGGTACCCGTACCCTACCCGATACCCGGCCGGGTACGGGTAGCCGGGTATCGGGTAGGGTACGGGTATCGGGTACCCGGCTGCGACCTCTGACGTGTCGGCAGCGACGACGCACGTCCAGTTTCAAGTGCCGCATGAAAGAATCCGAGTGACAGCGGAGGGAGTTAGTGACATGGGTTAGCAGCCGTAGCAGTTGTAGAACATCACCACTGAAGGCCTGTGCAACAGAAGGGCCTAAGGCCTACAATAAACCTCAATCCGGCCCCAATGCGGCCGGTGAAATGCCGCCAATGTAACAAACAAACAACAAAAACGCTGTAAATACCGTATAGTAGGTTTTTACCCTTTAGACTGGTACAAAACTGACACCTTTATACAAGGCATCATGTTTGCAATAACCACAACACAAGTAGTCAAAATGCAAACAAAAATAAACAACTCTGATGATAATAATAATAATATGCACTGTCCTTGAAGTTGTCTCGGGTGTGGACCAAACAACTTCAAGGACAGTGCATATTGTTATCATTATCAGAGTTGTTTCTTTTTGTTTGCATTTTGACTACTTGTGTTGTGGTTATTGCAAACATGATGCCTTGTATAAAGGTGTCCGTTTTTGTACCAGTTTAAAGGGTAAAAACCTACTACTATATTTTGCCACTGGTAAAGTTGATGTCTCATAGTGTATGATGCCTTGTATAAAGGTGTCAGTTTTTGTACCAGTTTAAAGGGTAAAACCTACTACTATATTTTGCCACTGCTAAAGGAGATGTCTCATAGTGTATGATGCCTTGTATAAAGGTGTCAGTTTTTGTACCAGTTTAAAGGGTAAAAACCTACTACTATATTTTGCCACTGCTAAAGGAGATGTCTCATAGTGCTGTAAATACCGTTGCCGGCGCTTGGCTCGGCTGCCCGGCAGCACGTCCCTGAGAGCGCCCATCCCCAGGTGCCACATCTCGGCCAGGTCGAGAGCCAGGCTGAGGCAGCCCACGGCGTACATGACGTGCAGGAAGACGGTCTTCTCCGTGGGCCTCGACACGAAGCAGTCGACGAAGTGGACGCAGGGGTAGCGGCGGGGGCACACAAAGCGGGGGATCACCTCCAAGCCGTACATCACGTACTGGCCCAGAAGGAAGCCCGCTTCGGCCACCGTGCGCAGGACGAGCTGCAGCGCGTAGGCCCACATGAGGCCGTCGGCCCTGATGGCGCGACGCCCGTCGTGCCGTCTGTAGTCGTTCTTCTTGACCTCGCCGCCGCCGGCGCCGGTTTCGTCGGCAAACTCCCCTTCTTGGTCGCCCCGCGAGCTTTCTGACCTGCGGATAACGACGCGGGAGTCAAAGTAAAAAATCTCCTTCTCGCAAGAACAAAGAGTAGAATGAAGGTTTTTTTTGGGGGACTTCGCCGTTATTATCACGGTTATCGTCGTCGTAGTAACTTTACTAGGCCTAGTAGTAGGTTTTTACCCTTTCAACTGGTACAAAAACTGACACCTTTATACAAGGCATCATGTTTGCAATAACCACAACACAAGTAGTCAAAATGCAAACAAAAAGAAACAACTCTGATAATGATAATAATATGCACTGTCCTTGAAGTTGATTGGTCCAAACCCGAGACGGCTTTCTTTAGAGCCTAGTCCCCATTGGTGTTGGACCAGATGACACCAAAAGGCGTACAACTCAAAATGATGCCTTGTATAAAGGTGTGTCAGTTTTTGTACCAGTTGAAAGGGTAAAAACCTACTACTATATTTTGCCACTGGTAAAGGAGATGTCTCATAGTGTATGATGCCTTGTATAAAGGTGTCAGTTTGTACCAGTTTAAAGGGTAAAAACCTACTACTATATTTTGCCACTGGTAAAGGAGATGTCTCATAGTGTAACTTCACTAGACCTCTGTATCCTGTGTATGGCGAAGGCGAGGTAGAGAATGCTTGGCATCGCCACGGTGATAATCTGAAAGATCCAGAAGCGCACGTAGGACAGGGGAGCAAAGGTGTCGTAGCACATGTTCGTGCAGCCCGGCTGTTGGGAGTTGCACATGAACGAGCTCTGCTCGTCGTGGTAGATTGACTCTCCCGCCACGATCGTCAGCATGATGCGCAAGATCAGGAACGTGGTGAGCCACAGCTTGCCCAGGTACGTCGAGTGCAGAGATATCTCCTCCAACAAACTCGTCAGGAAGTTCCAGCTCATTGTGACCACCGGCTCGCCAGAAGCGTGCCCACCTGAGAATTCAAGAAGAGAGACGCGGATTTAGAGGGCACGTCGGCTGGCCGCGCGCCGCGTTGAGCTCTTCTGTTGCCTCGGGATACCCACAGATGTCCAGTAGGGGGCATGGGGTAATCTTAATTTGGAGCTTTCGTGACTGCAGGAATAACTCTTTGGTTCTTTCGGTAAAGTCACGTATAAAGATAAAATAATAAATTAAATACTAGCATACGACGTTTCGATTGCAACACAAGCAATCGTCATCAGGTATAAATGAAATAGAAACACAAATCTAGTATACTTAGAAATGTAATGTAATACAACAGAGAGTCGGATAACATAACAGTCAACACCCTACCTGGTTGATTACATTCTTCCTGAGAATGCTAAATTTGAGAGATAAAACACAGAACCAGAAACATATAGACAGACATATAAGCAGATAGATATCACAGAGATACATAGAGAGAGACAACACAGAGACACACAGAGACACACACAGAGAGACACACAACATAGACACACAGACAGACATATAAGCAGAGACAGATATCACAGAGATACATAGAGAGAGACAACACAGAGACACACAGAGACACACACAGAGAGAGACACACAACATAGACACACAGACAGACATATAAGCAGAGACAGATATCACAGAGATACATAGAGAGAGAGACAACACAGAGACACACAGAGACACACACAGAGAGAGACACACAACATAGACACACAGACAGACATATAAGCAGAGACAGATATCACAGAGATACATAGAGAGAGACAACACAGAGACACACAGAGACACACACAGAGAGAGACACACAACATAGACACACAGACAGACATATAAGCAGACAGACATCACAGAGATACACAGCGAGAGACAACACAGAGACACACAGAGAGACACACAACATAGACACACAGACAGACATATAAGCAGACAGATATCACAGAGATACACAGAGAGAGACACACAGAGACACATAGTGAGAGACACACAACATAGACACACAGACAGACATATAAGCAGATAGATATCACAGAGATACATAGAGACAACACAGAGACACACACAGAGAGAGACACACAACATAGACACACAGACAGACATATAAGCAGATAGATATCACAGAGATACATAGAGACAACACAGAGACACACACAGAGAGAGACACACAACATAGACACACAGACAGACATATAAGCAGATAGATATCACAGAGATACATAGAGACACACACAGAGAGAGACACACAACATAGACACACAGACAGACATATAAGCAGATAGATATCACAGAGATACATAGAGACACACACAGAGAGAGACACACAACATAGATACACAGACAGACATATAAGCAGATAGATATCACAGAGATACATAGAGAGAGAACACACATACGCACACAGTGGAAGCCACGTCTCTGTGTCGAGGTTGGGGTAAGAGGGTTACAACAACACACTACACACAGTTTAACACGCAGCAGGCTTTCGCGACCAATTAAATTCATAATCAACGTGTTTGGGTTTAGATCGCCGCGTTATTTATAAATGTGTCATAACCCTCCACCACACCCGACACGGCCAATCAGCAAAAAGTGTCACGTTGACAAAAGACAAAATAGTTCACTACTTTAGCCCCACAACGGTGTGTTGTTGAAGAGTGAAACCACAACATTTACAATTTGTTTTATTTAAGACCAGGAGCCAGAGCAGAGCCTCACCATTCTGACAAACTGCCGATGATGCTGGATGCAGTTACCAGCGGAATGTCACAGTATTCAACAAATGTAAATGTTGTGGTATAGTGTATAGTAGTGTAGTGTGTAGTATATATAAGTGTATAGTAGTGTAGTGTATAGCTTTGTAGTGTATAGTATAGTGTATTGTATAGTAGTGTACTGTATAGTATAGTAGATATAAGTGTTTAGTGTATTATATAGTAGTGGAGTGTAAGTAGTGTAGTGTACATTACTATAGTGTATAGCAGTGTATAGTAGTGTATACCAGTGTAGTGTATTGTATCGTGCAGTGTATAGTAGTGTACTGTATAGTACAGTGTAGTATATATGTGTGTATAGTGTAGTATATAGAAGTGTATTGTATAGTGGAGTGTCCAGTAGTATAGCATATAGTTGTGTATAGTGTAGTACGTAGTGTAGTACTGCACATCCTGTACACCAGGCGAGGTAGTTAACATTTGCCAGCCACCGTGATGATTATGGTGTAACCCACGACCTCCTGTATACCAGGCGAGGTAGTCAACATTTTCCAGCCACCGTGATGATGATGGTGTAACCCACGACCTCCTGTATACCAGGCGACGTAGTTAACATTTCCCAGCCACCGTGATGATGATGGTGGTGGTGTAACCCACGACCTCCTGTATACCAGGTGAGGTAGTTAACATTTCCCAGCCACCGTGATGATGATGGTGGTGTAACCCACGACCTCCTGTATACCAGGCGAGGTAGTTAACATTTCCCAGCCACCGTGATGATGATGTGTGGTGGTGTAACCCACGACCTCCTGTATACCAGGCGAGGTAGTTAACATTCCCAGCCACCGTGATGATGATTACGGTGTAACCCACGTCCTCCTGTATACCAGGCGAGGTAGTTAACATTTCCCAGCCACCGTGATGATGATTACAGTGTAACCCATGACCTCCTGTACACCAGGCGAGTAGTTAACATCTCAATTACCAAGGCATCAACACCAACGAAGGTCCAGGCGACCACCAAACCTCAAGGTCGTGGCAAACTTTTGGTGGTGGCAGCGTTGAAATGGCAGTAGAACTTATCCGCAAGTTGTGGAGACCTGCAGAGACCCACTCAGCGAGTTGGCACAGCAGGGGGCCACAAGGTGGTGGTAACATCAGCCACTCGTCTCAGTCAGTCGACACGTGACACCTGCTGGGTCTGCCCGTCACCTCCTCCTGCCACGTGGTAGCCTCAAGGTGCACGTGGCCTGGCAAATGCGTCGTGGTGACGTCACCGCCACTTAGTGGCGAATGGCGGTTGTTGTTGTTGTGTGTGTGAGTGCTAAACTGTGTGAGTGTGTGTATATGTGTTGCGCCATAGCAAGGCTCTGCAGGTCACCTTAGATGCCCCCAAGCTCACGGGCCCACAGGGGCAGCAGAGTGTCTATGACCTGCACTGTTTCATTGCTTTTATGGCTTTATTTTGGTGATTTTTGAAAAGTTTTTGGTTTGGCCATGTTTGTTTGTTGTAGTACAGAGTTAGACTGATGGCCTTAATCTAAGTTGTCTTGTGGTTGTTGTTGTTGTTTGACTTGCATCCCACTGGGATTTTTGCACACAGCGTTGGTGTACGGTGTTTTTTCTGCAATATTTTGCTGTCTTTTCTTGGATTTTCTGTTTGCACTTAGTCACATAGTCACTTTAAGATGTTTTCTTGTTCATGTTTTTTTTTGTTTGTTGCGGTTGCACCCGATTCAAGAGCCGAATGGCTCACAGGGCTATACCTAATACATGAAAACTTGAAACTTGAGGCGTGTGGGGGTTGACCGAAGGTGCCCCCCCCCCCCGCCTCTTACACTGGTCAACGTGTATCCACACTCGGACCTTCAAGTTCAAGTTCATTGATGAGGTGTAGCCCTGTGAGCCATTCGGCTCTTGAATCGGGTGCAACCGCAACAAACAAAAACAAAAACATGAACAAAAAACATCTTAAAGTGAATATGTGACTAAGTGCAAACAGAAAATCCAAGAAAAGACAGCAAAATATTGCAGAAAAAGCACCGTACACCAACGCTGTGTGCAAAAATCCCAGTGGGATGCAAGTCAAACAACAACAACCACAAGACAACTTAGATTAAGGCCATCAGTCTAACTCTGTACTACAACAAACAAACATGGCCAAACCAAAAAACTTTTCGAAAATCACCAAAATAAAGCCATAAAAGCAATGAAACAGTGATCATAGGAACTGTGACCGAATTTTCACAATAAACGACGTAACAACATGTACTACCAAACCTGCAGCCATAGCTGGCTGCATGAGTCACTCCACAACAGTAGGAGCATCAGTCGGAGTATCAACATTTTTCAATGCACCTTTAAGATCAGCACACTAAATCAAAACACAGATCATACTTCATGTAAGCTGACGTGCGTAGCGATCGCTGTCGTGGTAGAGTTGACCATATTTTTTTGGGATAATCCCTTTTGACTCCACACCAAGCTGTCTTTTTGTGCCATGTATAATGTGCTACATTCGTGAACTAACGCAATGAAAAATTAACCCGTAAAAACAAAGTTTTTCACTATAAATCCTTTATATGCGTGGCGGCTAGAGTCCTCTCGTCCTCTGGCTTGAGATGGCTGCCACCTATGGGTCAGATGATTGCCTGCCACCATTAAGCAATTGGTAATTAAATATAATTTATTTTTTCCTAAAAAGTGTAAAATTTTGGAAAAAATTTTTCACGAAAATAATTGTCACGCACAACGAGTCTGTGTGCAAAATGTCAGCTCGATTGGATCACGGGAAGTGGGTTAAAAAACGACCGAAAGATTTGCACGGTCGTAAGCGCGCAAGCAAGCAAGTGAACTTAATATAAAGGATTTAAAAATCAGGTTGATTCACGAGAATATCATGTTCTTTTCTGCCATAACAGAGAAAGAATGTATATATAACGTGACATTTTGGCAGACTGGCCCAACTTTATTTATGCCCATAGGATAATGAAAGATAATGCATAAGAATAGGGTAAAACCTATTCTTATATTTTCACACACACACAGACCCACAGACTCACACAGAGACCCACAGACTCACACAGAGACCCACAGACTCACACAGTGACCCACAGACTCACACAGAGACCCACAGACTCACAGAGACCCACACACTCACACAGAGACCCACAGACTCAGAGAGACCCACAGACTCACACACAGACCCACAGACTCACACAGAGACCCACAGACTCACACACAGAGACCCACACTCA